CACAGGTGCCATCTGTGTCCCTTTGCCTCGGCCTATGAGCGTCACCTGGAGGCCCACATGCGATCCCACACCGGGGAGAAGCCCTACAAGTGTGAACTGTGCTCCTTCCGCTGCAGCGACAGGAGCAACCTGTCCCACCACCGGCGGCGCAAGCACAAGATGGTGCCGATCAAGGGTACGAGGTCTTCCCTGAGCAGCAAGAAAATGTGGGGGGTTTTGCAGAAGAAGACCAGCAATTTGGGGTACAGCAGAAGGGCGTTAATTAATTTGAGCCCGCCTTCCATGGTGGTGCAGAAACCAGACTACCTTAATGACTTCACCCACGAAATCCCAAATATCCAGACTGAGGCGTACGAGGGCATGGCAAAAACGACTCAGAGCGGAGGGTTGCCAAGAGACCCACAAGACCTCATGGTGGATAATCCTTTGAACCAGCTCTCCACCTTGGCTGGACAGTTGTCCAGCTTGCCACCTGAAAACCAAAATCCAGCCTCTCCTGATGTTGTTTCCTGTCAGGACGAAAAGCCTTTCATGATCCAGCAGCCTGCTGCACCTGCGGTAGTTTCATCTGTGTCAGCAAATATTCCTCAAAACTCATCTCCAACCAGCCCAGACCCTCGGCCTCCACAAAATCAAAGGAACTATAGTCCCGTGGCCGGGCCCAGCAGCGACCGCAGCGCCCACACCAGTACTCCCAGTATAAGCAACAGCCAGCCAAGCACTCCGGCTCCAACCCTCCCAGTCCAGGACCCTCAGCTTCTGCATCACTGCCCGCACTGTGACATGTACTTTGCAGACAATATCCTTTACACAATTCACATGGGGTGTCATGGATTTGAAAATCCTTTCCAGTGCAACATCTGCGGGTGTAAGTGTAAAAACAAGTACGACTTCGCTTGCCACTTTGCAAGAGGCCAACATAATCAACATTGACTGAGACATGCTTTGGTTTAGTTTTTTAACATATTACAGTCTATTTTTCATACTTGCTGATGGAAAGCTTGCACATTCCCGTATGGAATAGTCACGTTAGTCGATTGGAGAAAGGAGGTGAATTTATTTCCATGTTGTTGTAAAACTTGCCAGGGAAATTTCGTGTAGGATTGGGTTGTTATTTTATATGTAGCCTTTCCAAAAAAGCCAAGAGTGCTGTCAGGATTGGAATGCATTTACATGCTGTGGTTGCTAAATTTAAGTTGCTTTCACTTCATCCCAATAAACATTCTGCAAATGGAGAAGCAGAGCGTGTGTCCTGAACCATAGGGTGTCATTACCAGGGTATTTCCTAGGCTGGACAAGCCACATTATCCATAAAATATGAAAGGTTAGTGCAGTGACACATCAAGTAGTGACAGGAAAAGGACTGACAGAGGGCAGGGTTAGATTGGATATTGGGAAGAAATTATTTGCTGTGAGGGTGGTGATGCCCTGGCACAGGTTGCCCAGAGAAGCTGTGGCTGCCCCATCCATGGAACTGTCCAAGGCCAGGTTGGATGAGGCTTGGAGCAACTTGGGCTAGTGGGAGGTGTCCCTGCCCATGGCAGGGGGTTGGAATTAAATTATCTTTAAGGTCCCTTCCAACCCAAACCACTCTATGATTCTGTGTGGCTACTTTGGAGACATCCTTAAAAACTTGGCTACTCTAAACCTGAAAAGCAAACAGAAGCAACTTTCACATACAAATTCAATTTGATGTAAAAGTTGCTTTGATCCAATGAAGGTTTATAATAAGTTTCTGTTTAGTAGCCTACACTCTTCATTCTAGGGCTCAAACACTAACTATTTTAAAAACTCATCACAAAAGTAGAAGGTAACGGGTTATTGTGAATAAAACTCTGGTAGGGGAAAAAAGGAGTTAAAAGCTTGTCATTCCTGAGTTATACAAACAAAAAATTAAACAGGATACCTTATTTTAACCTACACTTACCAAAATTTACATCATTTTCAGAGGAGGTAATTTTTAAACAGACATAACAAAGAGCTTGTAGAGCTAATATATATTCTGTGAGACTTCTAGCTGCCTTAAACTAATTTGTACAGATATTTAAAATTTGCACAATTAGGCTTCTGTCTTGCTGACAGGAGTGCTAATAGGAACAAGCAAGAGGTTTACAAATTAAAACTCCTTTGTTCAGTTTTATGTTGGGCAAGGCTACAACTGAGAGGTTGCCTGTATGTTTGAGAGTTGTATGATCTAGTTTATGGTAAATTCAGCTGACTTGGAGGTCTCTTTTAACCCCTCTCCCAGATTTAATGTCTTTTTGGGTGTGCTGGAGATAAGGGGAAGGGCCTCTGGCTTTTCTGAGCTGTCCATGTAGGAGGCAAAGGAACTACACTGGGTTTAGGGATTTTAGGTAGCAAATGGTAGCTGAAAATGATTATTTTGTTTCATACTGTACATCTTATTTTAGAAGCCCCCAGGGTAATGGACAGGCACTTTAATATAAACCGAAATAAAACATCTGAGCAAAATTAATAATAACCCTTAATATGCTAGATAGGAATTTCAGGCATTAAAAACAAAAAGGAGGAACTGTTACTTTCCCCATGTTTAGATGTGCACTTTTACCTTGGTTTGTCTTACTTGAGACAAATTTAAGCTTCCCTTATATATCCCCTTTTTCCTATCAGCAAATTGGTTGGAATCTGAGTAGCAAATGTTTGGCTTATTCAAATTGATGATGTTATGGGAGCTAAAACTTCCTGGAGCCAATGGAGAAACTAACAGTGACTTCAGTGTAAGGCCAATGCAGGAGAAACCACCTGTTTGTAAAACAGAATGTAATTCCATTTTTCATCATTACACTCTTCGTAATTCCCAAACATCTCTTTGTTGCTTTATGCTTTTGAAATTTATTTTATCAGTAAAACTGCAGTTCTTTGTGCATAGAGAGTCCTTTATTTTAAGGACTAAAAGCTGACTGATCTGGAACCCAGCTGGAAGTTACTGCTCCTGAACAGGTTTTGTAAGATGCCTGTTTCAGTCAAAGAGCACAGGAAAGGTGTTTCCCTCTGGATCACATACGGGCAGATTCTAAAACCTACATTTGGCTAAAAATACAGCATTAGGATGAGGGAATTAACTGTTGAAAACCTTTAAGTTTAGTAATTTATAGAAGTGGTTTTCCTTGTCTTTTTGATAGATAATGCAATCTGCTATTCTGAGGCTCCAGCAGCTCCAAGGAAGCTTCTGGAATGGTGGTGCTCCAGGGAGCACCTGACAGTGCTGAATGGCACCAGTCACAACAGGCAAGTTCTCCTTGGTTTGTGGCTCCAACCTTGCTCCCTCCTGGCATCAACAGGGAGATGTGCACATCTCCCATCTTCCATGTGCACAAATGTTTAGGATTCCCTCCCTCCATCCCACTGATGTGGTTTCTAATCCAGTAGGACTTTGGTTGGAAGCGCCTGTGAGCAGTTACAGACTTTTCTGTGTGTGACAGCTCATGGTTTGGTGATTTAGAAACATGACTTCTGAACCACGATGCCCTTGGACAATATTCAGGATAGGAAGCTGGTCAGGTCATTGTGAGTAAGAGGAAGCCTGCAGGACCTGATGGAAAAGGAGCCCTCATTTAGCAGAGGATCCTCAGTTGTGGAGAAAATATGTTCTTAATGACAGAACTCAGTGTGGGGGGAAAAAAAAAATCTAACCCCAAACCTTGCAAATTGTTGTTTGGAAGGATTTTAATGCTGCTGCCTGGATACCATTGTTTCTGCTTTGGAATTCCAAGGGAAAAAATTAGCTTGGACATTTAAGAACAGCTGAACAATGCTAGGAACACTTCCCTGTTTACTCCTCTCTGCAGGGGCTTCCTGGGCAGCAGCAGCTTTGATGTTTGTCCCTTGGCTCTTTGCGCCCAGATCCCTGGAGTGGATCCCTCCTCGTGTTTCGTCCTCGTGCTGTTGTGCCAAACAACTCCCTGACGCTGCTGTTCCCTTCCCCACTGAGGAGCCTTGCAAGGTGTATTTGTCCTGTTTTTCCTAAATTGCACATCCTGTTGATGACAATTTAAAGACTGGCAAAATTGTTTGAGAGTTTGATCCTGATGTTTGCCTTGCACAAGCAGGCCTTGTCCAGTCAGTGAGGGATACTTTTCCAGGATTCTGGGACCGAATTCTCAGTCAGAAGGACTTTTCATATCAAGTTCTCCACATGCTACAATGCATTAACTTGTTTCTTTTAAAAAACAAAAATCCTCATATAAGGTGGTGAGTGATTAGCATTTTATTAACAGGGAATTTTCAGAAGGAAATGGAATTTTTCCACAGCTTGGTTCTGTTAGGTTCTGTAGTTGCAAAACACGAATTTTGTGAGGTTTTTGTTTTAATTGTAAGAGATTGTTTTTTAGCTTTGTGGACATTTCAACGTGCACTCTTTGTAGCACTCAGCACAGACTTACTGAGGCTGAATATTCCAATAAATATTTGAACATCTTAATTATCTCAGTTAATACTTAAACCAACTGCAAATAGGGAAAAATAGTTGCTTTTTTCACAGACACATGTTTAGATGAAGAGGATTTTGACATAAAACGGTGGTTGGCATTTTAATATAAAACTCAGTGCTGGGTGACACGTTCCAGCAGTGTTTTCTAGCCAAATAGTCTCTTGCTGTTTGTTTTGTTCCAGACTGTTTGGGAGAGGGGTTGATTTTTTTGTTTCTTTTTGACGAAGGGAATGTAATTTAGAAGTCTTCACTGGCAAGTTTTCTATTAATTTTAAGCTTCTTTGAAAATCTACAGCAAATGGATGTTTTGCTGCAGGAAATCTCTCTCCTGCTGAAGCATTTTTCATTGAGCAATCTTGGTGTATGTGCTTCAGAGTACCTACTTTGTTAATAATATGTATTTCAGTGTAAAGAGCACATTTTATGCAAAAATGAAAAACCTGTTAGAGTTGTAAAATAAATTCTAATGTTAGTGAATGTTTTGGAGATGACAAGGTTAATTCTGGAATAACTCTTTATCTCGTGTAGTTCATGTTGTGAAGCTTTGCTTTTGTAAGATACGAATAAAATAACACTTTCTAATTAGGTCTCCTGTTAATTCTTCATTGCATGTGCTTCCACAGGTAGAGCTGGTGATGTGCTCAGGACTAAATGGGATCTAGGTATGGTGAGGAGGATAAACAACCTCTGGGATTGCTCAGGTAGTGCTGGACAGAGCAGAGCAGGTCACCAGCCAAGGTGCTCCTCAGAATCTCAGCGGGAGGAGGCTGTGGGTCGAGGTCAGTGCCATGGTAAGCAGGGAACAGGACTAGATGACTTCCAGGTGCTCTCCCCAGGCTAAATTCTACCTGTGATCCCGTGACATTTAAATTTAAAGATGGGTTGTTCTTGGCTTGATCTCAAGTCTGTTTAGACTGTGTTTCTCTTCCATACCATGCAGAGAGGAGTCAGGGAAGGGATCTCTCAGCAGCAGTGCTCAGAGTACTGCAATTTAAACACTCTTAAACACCCAACATTCTCCATGTCATTATTTTAAAATGTATTTATTGACCACATTGGTTGCCTCGTGTTGGAATGGGGAAACTACGCTGGTAGCAGGGTCAGAATTCTGAGTTTTCAAAGTCTCTCCTTGCCTCAAGTCTTCCAAAAATTCTGCCTTCAGTTTGTTGAGTTCTTCTGCCAGGCTCTTCATCTCACTTGGGAGAACGTTTTTGCCTAAAGAAAATGAAAGTTGAACTTTTAACTTCACCTTAAGGACAAAATCATAGAATTGTAGAGTCACAGAATATGCTGAGTTGGGAGGGACCCACAAGGACCATCCAGTCCAACCCCTGGCCCTGCACAGATACCCCCCTTGTCCTATGAACTATAATCCTCTAAAATGTTGGTCTGGAACTAAATGGTTCTGGGATGGGTAGGACAGGTGGAACACGTACCTCTGGCATCCTTCATGGCCTGAGAGATGATCCTCCTGCACGCCTGGTCAGCCTGGTGGACAGCGCTGGCTGCACAGATGGCTCGGTCTGTGTCCTGCCCAGGGCCGGCAGAAAGGGAGGAAACAAGCAAAACACTTTAAATTTACCTAACTTTGGAAACAAGTAACACAGCAGCAGCAGCTCCATCACCACCTGAAGGCAAGCAGTGCTACCTTTTGCTCCGTGTCCTCCTCGTTCGGCCTGGCTGGGTTTTCCAGAGCAGTGGCCAGCAGGTTAATTATCTGCTCACTGAGAAAACAAACAACAGAGTAAAACACGTCAATCAAACAGATTCACTGACATTTTTCTTCCATTTTGAAATGGTACCACAGAAAACGAAAGAGCAAGTTTCTGGTTAAATTTACAAGGCAATCAGTGAAATAATCTGAGATTAAAAAAAAAATTACAGCTCAATTATTTCCAGTCCTAATGTTTCAGGCAATTTACATGGATTTTCAAGGTCAGGGTAGGAATGCAGTGAGTTTTGGGGTTAACTCTGCAAAGGATGGTGGCTGTGAGCTCCCAACAACCAGCCAGTGTCTTGTTTAACTGACTGGCTTCCAAAAATCACCACTGGGAATTTCTTTTCCACACTGTTTGGATACAATAAGGAGCTTTTACACACTCATTTATGAAAATTGCACTTGGGGAAAACTCTAGGATCAATCCAGTAGCGTACTTGTCCTCTGAGATGCAATCAGAGCTGCTCAGAATGAGGCTGTGCTGCTCCCAAGCGTTTTTCTTGAGGTCTGGCATTTCTATTTTCCTTGCCATTAAATGTATTGTCTGCTCAGGTACAGGATCACTCCTGAGGCGATTCCTCTGCAGGCAGCATTCCAGGGGACAGTCTAAAAACAACTGGCAGAAGCCCAAGGAATCTAAAACAAACACAACCAGACAATTTTAGCTTTAAACACTTCAAGTAACAATTTCTGAGAGCAACACACAAGAGAAAGTCTCTGCGTGACTGAGGGGATTTCTACACAAGTTCTGAGCCTGATGTGAACACAGACCTAGACAGGAACACCAACAATTTTACCTTCAAGGCTGCTCAAGTAATAACATCTGAGATAACCCACAGAACCAACGGTTTGGGTTTAGAGGGACCTTAAAGTTCATCTCATCCCACCCCCCTGCCATGGGCAGGGACACCTTCCACTATCCCAGGATGCTCCAAGCCCCTTCCAACCTGGCCTTGGACACTTCCAGGGATGGGGCAGCCACAGCTTCTCTGGACAATCCGTGCCAGGGCCTCCCCACCCTCCCAGAGAAGAATTCCTTCCCAATATCCCATCTAACCCTGCCCTGTGGCAGTGGGAAGCCATTCCCCCTTGTCCTGTCACTCCATGCCTTGTCCAAAGTCTCTCTCCGGCTCTCTTGGAGCCCCCTTATGTATGGAATGTGCTCTAACGCTGCTCTAAGAAGAGTTTTAAGTGTCCTACCAACTTCTAATAACACAGTAACAAAGCTCAGTTGCTCCTCACCGTACCGCAGGAACGCAGCAATTAAGAATAACCCAAGTTCCCCGAGAGCACTCAGAGCAGCTGCAGTGCCCTGGATCTCCTACGAGCCCACTCCCGCCGCGGAACGAGGAGTGCTCACATTTTCTGGCCAGCTGGTACACCTCGTACCGCATGCTCTGGTAGTAGAAGTTGTCATCCAGGAGGAGGCAGAGCGGCCGTGCCGCGGCCCCGCCGTCCCCCCGCGCCGCCTCCAGCAGCCCCTCCCGGCGGCAGCAGCGCAGGAACCGCTCCCAGCCGGGTTGAGCGGAGCCGGGCAGCGGCGCCCCGGTCAGCAGGGCCCGCAGGAGACCCTCCAGGCACTGCAGCAGCTCCCGGCGGCTCCGCTTCCAGCCGGGCACCTGCGGGGGACGAAGGGCAAGGATCAGGGAGCCGGCACAGCCTCTGCCCGGCCGCGGGGGGACCCGCAGCGGCCTCGAACCAGCCCGGGCCCGGCCAGTCTTTGTCCCAGACACACTCCCAGTCTCAGGCCCAGACCCAGTCCCATTCCCAATCCCAGCCCCATTTCCATTTCCAATCCAATCCCGATCCCAGCCCATTCCCGGCCGGACGCGTCCCGTTGCCCGGCAACAGCGGTCGCGCGGCGGTGACGCAACGGCACTGACCAATGGGAGCGGCTCTGGCGGCCCCGCCCCCGGGGCGCGCGGGAGGAAGGCCTCGGGCGGGATGAGCTCGTCGTAGTCCAGGAGCGCGCAGGCCCAGCCCGGGCGCTGCCGCAGCCGGCGGCGCAGGGCGCGGGCCAGGCTGGACTTGCCGGCCGCGGGGAGCCCGCACAGCAGGCACAGCCCCACCCGGGCGCCGCTGCCGCTCCCCCCGCGCCGCTCCTGCTGCTGCTCCGCCAGCGCTGCCGCTTCCGCTCCCGCCGGCGCTCTGTGCGCATGCGCCGAGTGCCGCCGCGGGGGCGCCCCCTGGCGAGCGCGGCGCCACAAGGCCGGGCCCACAGAACCGTCCCCTTTCACACAATTCTCGTTTTGCCTCGTTTTTCACCCAATCCTCGCCTCGCAATACACTCAGTAACTCGCTTTGGTGGCACCCAGGAACGCCAAATGGCCGAGCCCTCCCTGTGTACCCTGCGGTGGCTTTTAAGATCTCTGAATAAAGACACCACCGAGTGCGCTGCCCCCCGGTGATTGAGGTCTAAATTACAGGAATATTTCATAACAAACATCTTAATTGTTTGAGTTATTTAATTATAATAGCAATTTAAGGTCCTGAGTGAGTAAGGCAGAGGACACTCCTTTGGCAGACACTCCTTGCCAGTGCAGATTTTTGCCTTCAATACGTTTCGGGTCCTTTTGTCCAGTTCTTCAGTGATGTGGCCATCTGAGGGCTTAGAAATATTTTACTGGTGAGGCAGTTCTGTAATCTATTCATTCTTTTCCCTAGTTCACACTCCCACATTGGCATGAACACAGCCAGGCTGTTGGTCACTCCCTGCTGGACAGGTGGATCTGTATCCACAGTTTTGTCCTTCCCAGCGAGTTGGTCTCTGCACAGCAGTTGCTCCTTCGTTTTGATGCAGACTTTTTTTTTTTTTTTTTTTTTTTTTTTTCCCCTGGATTTTCTGGATCCCTCTCCTGGATGGAAACATTGGCTGGGAGACCCATTTAGACAAATTGTGTCACTCCATGCATTCCATTTTAAATCAGTGCGGGTGTCTTTAATTTTCTCATTAGAAGTTAATCTGTTGGTTTTGTAGTGGACAAAAGCAAAAAAATCCCGAGCTGCAATGACCAGTAGACACTGAGCCACTGTTGAGCTGCACAGTGTATTTCCCAGTATCCCACATTTTCTGTAACTGGACGGTTTCTTTCACACTCAGGCACACAGTGTTTCTGGTGCCCCCAGATAGGAGGTTACTTTTATAAACTACCTGAAATGGAAAGGGACAGAGCTGGAGCTGAATAAATCATGTCTGTAGATAAATGAATTCACTTCTCCTTGGCCCGCACCTCAGACTCACGCACTGTCACAAGTGTAATCCTACGAGCGTTGAACTTCAGGCTTCTGATTTAAAAAAACCAGGAGGTGAGGTAGAGGAGGCACAAACACAGCCAGCAGCAAGCAGCAAAACACTGGGAGTCACCAAATCTGCGTTCAGTGCCTCTTGGTATCCAGTCTTTCCCAGAGGTACCTGCTTCCCAAGGGCATTTTGGCCACACGAGGAGAGGACTGGAGGATTGAAATCTTGTAATTTGGGGTTTTTTTTTTCAGGCCAGTTACTTGTCAGAATTGGTTGAGGGTCGCCAAGAAGCTTTTCAGACAGCTGGTCTAGGTGGGACTGGGGGTCGTTGAGGTCCTGAGGGAGCTGCAGGAACCTGGGTTTGTACGGGGTGCCTGAAGTGTGGGAAACACGTGTTTAGAATTTCATAACTTGAGACAACTGGCATTTCTAAACTGGTTATTCACCATTCTTTAAACAGTTTCTAGCACTTATATTTATACCTAACTCTTTCTGCCCCTTCCTGTAGCATTTACCTGCATTTGTGCTGTTTTCTAAACAAGCAGTAAAACAGCATTTCTCCCTCAGGCATTCAGTCTATTACAGCTCAGGATGCTGCATGAAAAATTCATCTTAAACAGGGCACGAGACATCAGGAACTTCATGTGCAGTGACAACAGTGATGTAAACCCAGCGAATGTGAAGTGAAGAAGGATTTGAAGTGCTACAAACCTTGTACCAGGAAAATGCAATATGGTAAAAATATCAGGGCTTGACGTGGCAGGCTGGAAAAGACGTTGCAGAAAATCAGGTTAACAGAAAACACAAAGTGCATGCAATTCTCCAGTATTAAGATTTTTGTATTTCAGAACTAGTTTTCATTTTTTGGGGGGGACATTCTTCATATTCTCTTGCAACACGTTGTTTTGATAGCAGGCAATAAAGCTCATACCTACCCGCACAGAAATCCCCTTTAACACTTTCTAAACTATATTAAATACTTGGAAATACAGGTGGTTTTAATGTATCAAAATGCCACAGAGTCATAAATAATGATGTTAGAGAAAAGGCCCTGTAGAGTTTGTATTAACACGAAATAATGCAAGTATGCATCTCTCACCTGATCATTTCTTGCATCATGACTTGGTTTGTTATCTTGCTTTGCTTCCTGCACATTGTTATCCCTGAAACAGAAACCGTGTGGTCAGAAAACCTCTTCAGGGATGCAGCATTTTCCAAGGACGAGGCTACAGCTCAGAGGATCTGAGGGTTCTGCTTGTGAGCCCAGCCCTGTCTGGACTTGGCAAGCCCTTTCAGTGTGCTCTGACCCCATGTGCAATACAATTATCAATAACAATTAGGCAAGTGCAATGTTTTTTGGGAAAAACACCCAAGAACTGACAATTGCAGTGTCTGGATTAAGCTACCAAACAGCAGGGGACTGAACTACCTCCTACCGCTATTGGCAGGGAAGGCTTGTTTTTTTAGGGGGTGTGGAATTCGTTGTGTAGATAAAGCATCTATCTAGCTTGCTAAATTAACCTGGAGCCTGCTCTCCTGTGTTCAAATAGCACCTGTAAGGAGGGAAATACCTGTGCTGTCTTCTGCTCTTCCTGCAAAGTTTTCTCCTTATTGCATCCCGCTTAATTATTGCTAACGCAGCAACAATGGCCACCGGCAGCACGAGGAAGAAGAAGATGAGCAGCCCATCCCGAAGTGATGTGTCTAGAGAAAAATGAATTGAAATAATGACATTCACAATGTTAAAGCATTTTTTTTGCTGTCATAAGCACTACAACCTTCGAATTATTTTCGGTCGAAACTTCACTGAAATTTATAAAATGCTACGGTCAGAAAAGTAGGATTTGGCCTTACGTTATCATAAGTTCTTTCTGCCTTTAACGCCCCTGTATTCCATAATATAAAACCTTTTTCCTTTTCCTTATATTTTTTCAACAAACTTGATGATCCTTGTGGGTCCCTTTCATCTCAGCATATTCTGTAACTCTGTGATTTTTTATGTGCTCACCCACGATTGCTCTGCACATCCTCTTTGCCTTCCTAAAATTTTAATAACTACAAAACATTTTTTTTTCCCCTTTCCCAAAACACAGATTTAGTAAAATCTGGTAATACAAGAATTATCTCTCTCCTCACGAAGCTACAGATTGCGAACTCTGTTTTTTAAACAGAGAGGGAAAACGTTTTGCGTGTAAAGTGCGAACCCCAGCAAAAGCCACTTCATTACCAGATAACACTGTTCGTTCTTCAAGTCTCATGCAGGAGAAAAAAAAAAAAGAATTCCAAAAGAAACTGAAAAAAACCCTGCTGTAAGTAGTTTATTTTATGAGGTGCTGGGGCAGAAGGAAGTCTCAGTGTCCCACCTGTGTGAGCAGGACCGCTGTCAACGCTGCCCCCGTAGCCGGACTGGTTGCAGAACGGAGGGGCCCATCCCGCGTTGCAGTGGCAGTTCCCGTTGTTGTTACACACCTACCCCAGGACAACAGGGATTAATGAGTCAGGCAGTGGCAGTTCCCACTGTTGTAACACACCTACAGCCCTTACACAGGGGTGAGTCAAACGGCAGCTCCTCCCCGAGAGTACCTCCACTTCCAGACTCACCAGGGATCTGGAGTTCCACGAAGGGAGTTGCACGTGGAAACAAGGAATATTGCACAGGATTGCATAGAAATACATGAAGTGTTAGCTGGGAGTAAGCCCTCCCCCTCCATAGCATCCCAAGCCACTGAGTGATCCTGATACCTCAAGTGAATTCTCTGTAGAAATGAACATTTGTGTTGTTATTTGCCTCCACTAAATTGCAGTCCAAAGAACTCCTTTGGACTCCATTTTGATTTCTCACAGAGACATATATAAATCAGGGATTACTAGACCATCTTCCTCAAAGGGATATTTTCCTTTAGCAACTCAACAGCTCAGT